TGGCATCATTCTCACAATCATTTTACGATTTTATCAACATTTGTTGGTCGAGAGAAAATTCTATCGGGTGACTTACCCTAGCTGTTGAATACGAACTCAAATGCAAAAGGAAAGCAATTGAAAATAATTCATGAACCCTAAACCGGAATGTGACTAAATATTCTTTTTTCCAATTTAGCGGGATCTGAAAATGATAAAAATACGCTTTTTGGATGCTTGGGCGGGGCTCAGGCCGAGTCGCGATGTAAAAAAAAATTTCTTATTATTTTGATGTTGAATAATTTTTAATTTTCATTTATGATCATTCGATGACAGGCTAGGCGCCGCTATATAAGACAGATTCAAGTAAAAGCTCGCTTAAAATCTGCCTAAAATAGAATTAAAAATAGCCCAATATATATATATATATATATGTTTTTATTAAAATCTAGGATCTCATTGGAGGAAAGAACGCGCGTCGGAGTTAAATCGGATATGGGTGGGAAGGAGGATGCGAAGGAGAGGCGTGATTGTCGGAACCCTAGCCGACGGCACGGATCGACGGCTATCTTCGTGTTGTTGGACTACATTTTCATCTTCATCTTCTTCTGCTTTCTCTGCTACTTCCTCGCCAAAATCTTGCTCGGATTTAATCTGCCCTTCTCTTTTTGATGGCATCGTTTCCAAGATGGCGACGAATTGATTCCTGGAGTGGTATCAAACTTACTCTTTGTAATGCTTTGTTGTTTCCAGCTCTTATTTCTTTCATCATCTTTTTTATGGGATCAGGTTGGAATTGTATTTGGGGGTTTGGTATTTACCTACGAGGGACGATGAAATAAGATGCTCTTTTTTGCTTCATGGTCTATTTAAATCGTTAATGGCGAATTTCCTACAGCAATTTTCATGTTCAAAGCTGCATTTCTTAGAAGAACTGCATTTTCCTGACCTTGGCCTTTTTGGTTTAAACATATTTATGTTATTATTTGGGGTATTTTTGCTTTTCGAAAGTTGGAACTCAGGGTCTGTTTGGGGTAGATGTAGCTTATCCAACTTATACTGATAATCTGATGATAAACAGCTGATCCGAATAAACTGTCTGTTTGTTTGGTTTGTGTGTTTAGAAAATAACTGATTCTAGAAAAATGACCAATCTGCCCCTGTATTGGATAAACTGCAGCTGTTTGGTTTGCGTTTTTTTGTAAACAGTTGATTTGCAATTTTTTTTTACAAATTTACTAAACTTCTTCATGCAATCATAAATTCGAGATAAATGTGAAGATTGAAGAACATGAAAATACAAAATATTCTTATAATTAAAGTTCAAATATTAAGACATAAAAATATAAAATATTTATATCACTTAAATATTTCAGATCACATCACAGAAGCACAATTACCTTAACAAAAGTGAAATACACTTTAACACACTAATATGTACTATAATGAGACCCAAAAAGAAAGAAAAAATAACATGTTAAAGTACCCTTAATTGTAGTAATCATCCTCGTGCATTAGTGTAATAACACTTAAAAAAATATTCATGTCATCACATTTTATGGAATATTTACATAGAAACCACAAAATTCTTATGTGTTTACATTTCTAGCATCCAAAGTTAGGTATTTACTGTTATAAAGCTATGCATGAGAACGTAAATATATAACAAATGTGTGATATGTGCGTAAATCTTCCAAACAAAAATCAATTTCATATGTAAATGCTGGCATGTAATGCTCTTAGTAATAGCTTGCCTAAAAGCTTTTGAGCCATTGGTGATGCTAGGGAGCCAGGCAACTTCCACTGCATTTTCATATAAAATATAGGTGTAAGATATATAAATTTAGGTGTAAGAATCGTGTTAAAACCGATCAGCAGAGGAGCGGCAGCAGTGCGGGAGAAGAAAAAAAAGAAACGAGCGTAAAGGAGCGGCAACACAGTGCGGGAGAAGAAAAAAAACGTTGTTAACCTGTGCTCGATCGGTGAGGGAGAAGAGAGGAGCAACGAGAGGAGACGAGTTTTTACCTATTTATGTTGCCTGCGATATTAAGGCAGAGGAGATTCGTGTGAAATTAGGGCAGAGGAGATTCGTGCAAAATTAGGGCAGAGGAGCGACGAGTCGTCTTTCGAACATATGAAACGCGGATCGCGGGGTCCTATCCGCGATCCGTGTCTAATAGTAAAATAAAAACAAAGTTCTGTAAAACGCTCGTGAAATGAGATTTCCAAACTGAAGGTGGCGTTTTGAAAATGCTACTGCTGCAAATAAGCTCTCCCAAGCGCACCCTCAGTCATGATTTTGAATAAATTTATATGAGGAATCAATCAAATTTTGTATTCAAGCTAAGTAGTTTTTGCATTCATTCTCATTAAAAAATGGACACGGTTGCTCACTATAAATGGTTATTTATTGGATCTTTTATGTTTTGTCTACCATTTGGTTTATATACACAAATGAACATAATTTATATACTCTTGAACTTGACATAAAAGTATTCTCACATCTGAGAAATTGGAAAAATTATTGCATCAGGTGTCCAATGACAATGTGTCATGTGGCAACCCAGGCCCGAACTGTGTATGTGGGCCCAAATTGCCATGTGGCACCCTATTATTACACATCTGATGCAAATTTGCATCATGTGTCCTGATGCAATAAATTCTCGAGAAATTGAATATTTTTTGTACATCTGATTTCAACAACCTTTCTTATATTTAATGTTTCTATTTATAGGGAATTAGAGATGGTATGAAATGACAATTACAACCCTCAATTTTTTTTTGGTCAACCATCAGCTACCGACTTCATGCGATGGGGTCTTTGGATATCCGGTGGATCGTCCTTTAGCCAAGAAGACATTTTTCTGAGTGTTCTCTGAGTCAGTCAACCTCTAGTTTGGTCTCTCCTCCGAGTCGGTTCACCCCTTGTTCGTATCTGGTCTCTCCTCCGAGTCGGTTCACCCCTTGTTCGCATCTGGTCTCTAGGTATCAGTTTATTTTCTAGAAGCTCAATAGATAAACTTTTATATTTACATTTAAAATACTTTACTGTCATAAAATGATGCATGAAAAACGTAGTTCACTTTTAACAAATAAATAGTAGTGATATCATTTATTTAATATTAAAGATTGAATGCTATGCTTACAAAAATAAAAGTTTAGGATATAAGATATGTAAATACATAAGCTTTATGTGTGCTACATATATATATTATGCTACATCTGTAACAAAATTTACTTTTTTTTAAACTTTTTGGGAGATTCTTACATACCCCCCAATATTTATGTAATTACAGATGTATCAACCTAGCTTTAATTTATTAATATAACTTAATATCATATTACATCAAAATATAATATTTGTGATATTTTTTTATGTTATGTTAAAGATTGGGATATCACATAAATAAATATTAAAGTTTAGATGTTTAGATGGTTAAATACATAAGAATTATCCGGTATGCATATAAAGCCCCATTCTTTCTTGATTTCAATGAGCGGAGCCTTCTGTTCTTAAAACGAAATGCAGTCCATCAAAGATTTCTCTATATATTCAGAAGCACTTGAAAAAAATGTAGAAAATGATTTCAGGCATGCCAGTTCTGACTAGCCGTTGCACGATTTATTGATGCCTTTAGTGGAATACTAGAATTTACATATTATATATATATAGAAATTACATAAGTAGCACACAATTCTTATGTACGTACATTTCTGACACCAAAGCTATCATCTTTACATACATGCATTTGTGTGTCCTAACAGTTATCTCTTGAGAGAAGTTGAGTCACCATTTTTTTGTTTGACCATGCTTGTGAAGGAAAACATTTGTACGCGGCACTGCATACGTGAGGAGTTATTCAGAGGGTATAGGCGTGTTATATTCGCTTTATACACTCCTGTAATCTCCCTGTAACTTACCTGTAATTATCGAAACTACAGAAACACGAAACTTATTTGTGAGTTACATATATGTTACAGGTGAGTTATATGAAAGTTAAAAGATGTATAACACGGATATAACCCTCTGTAACTTACCTGTAACGCGAAACTTATTTGATAGTTACATATATGTTACAGGTAAGTTACATGAAAGTTAAAAGATGTATAACACGGATATAACCCCCTTATATCTTCTAAATAACCTCCCAACATATACAGCTCTGTGTAACTCTTACATACACACATATTTTCCGCCTGTGAAATTTTTGTGATGCACTTCTTTGATGTTACTGTGCTTGAACATTCCATTCAATGAAGAAAACTGTTTTAGGTTATATATTTTTGAATTCACATAAAGTTTCCATCACGTAATTTTTATTTAGTTTTTAAACGAAGTCAAAGTGTAGCCTTTCCTGTAGCTCCATGATCCTACTAATGAGGGTCATGGGAAACCACACACACCAAGCCTTCCACCATTTTGAACTACTAATAATACCTACGAGCTTCTCTCTAGAACTCACTCTCTCTTTACGTTTCAACTCTCCTCTTCAGTTTTTTCATTTTTTTTATTATTATTATTTTTGTTTTGTTATATTAAATCTTGAAGTCTTGTTATGAATTTCTCCTAGAGGTCTAACTCACATCTGGTGAATTCCGATAGACGAAAAATTAAATAGTCAGAAATTCTGACACCTCAAGAACAAATTTGCTTTATGCCAATCAAACACCTATAATTTTTAAAGCCTCTGAATTTGATTTACTTTGCACTCCTAATGCATGCCAACTAGTTAGGTCTCCCCGACAACAGTGCTAATCTACCAAGCAGAAATGCAGCAGCAGATTTGAAATGTTAACATTGATGTATCCACCCGACCCAAGAATTAGTTCCACCAACCTCAAGCAGTTTAAAAACATGTTCCATAATAAGGAGTTCAACCAAAATAAAGAGTTCAACCAAAAGATAAGTACGCCTCAAGCAGTTTAAAAACATGTTCCATAACCAAAATAAAGAGTTCAACCAAAAGATAAGTACGATTGAGTATTTCTTGTGATCTTTTAAATCATCGTATGAGATACAATACATATTAATCATACTTGTAGATGATTAACTTACCCAATGGTTTTGCTAAAAATTTGCAAAATTGGGAATGCTTGATAGATTATTATATACAGTTATCGCAAAGCCATAGTGCAAAGACTAGAGAAAAGAATATGGTGCAGTTTAATATGAAAATCAAGAATAAACAAATAGTAAAGTCAAACATCTCGCTGTGAAGGTGCAGAACCATGTGAACTTGATTGATTGTCGCTCCTACCTGTACAAAATTTGCAAGGTTCCGAACACTCTGTCGAACACCATGAATTAGGAACTGTCAAGAAGTATCTAGACATGAATTTTCTGAACCTTTTCTTATACTCCTTGGGGGAGATAATGGTTGGTAATGAATTTTTGGGAACAACCAGAGATGCCTTCACCCAGGTCTCAAGCTGCTTATCCCAGGTATACTGCCTCAAATAATCAATGATACCAAATACCAGCCGCTGCCTTTTTTTATCCACCCCAACAAGCAGAGAATAATCCATGACATTGATTGCCTGCGAAAATTGGCAGGTTTAGTTGTAGATAAGTTTAAACTTTAAAAAAGATGTGCTTTAGAGACAAGGAATAGAAGAACTAGGATACATATACTGACATTAAGGAAAGATGTATCATTCCAGATTGCTCGCTGCAAAAGATGTTTAGTTTTTCCGCCAACATAGATAGGAGATAAGCGCATATCTTCCACAAAGTTCTGATCCAGAAGAACCTTCTCAGGATCATTTACATCTGAAATGTATCTAGAAAAGACAGCACCTTTCAAATCATATGTGCGTGTCACATTGTGGCCAAAAAGGAGGTTTTCCATCACCATCAGATCAATCTTCATTTCCTTGCCATTTTTAGTTAGTCTAACCTATAGTGGAAATTTCCAAATCAATTCACTTAAAGAATATAAGAAATGCTATGAGTTTAAAGGAAGCCAAATGAATAGGTGATAAGATCACAAACCTGATATATTCCCAGGATTTTTGCCAGGCATGTTTGGTTACCTGTGCTTAAAGAGTGATTAATATGTTTGAAATAATTAGATGAAAATTTCAAAAAGGAATCAAGCTCGGCCCTCTTGATTTGCTTAATGATGAGCCTGTCATCCATTGATTTAGCAAAAAAGGCCTTGCTTTTTCCACCTTGAGCATCCCACTTCCTGCAACGACCTAGGGAAGATACGTAAGCCTGTTCTGAAGGGCAGCACATCCTTCGAAGAGCATAGAATTGCTTTGCATGGATACAGACAACAGAATACTTCTTTAAGCCTTCTTTTCCTATGCCTAGTGGGACTTCAGGATGAAGATTTTCTGAAGTTATCAAACGATCCATGGATAATGCACTTTCTAAAGTCAAGGAAAAAAATTCATCCGAGGAAAGTGAAGAGAAGCTATGTGAAAGATGCATTCCTACGGGATCTATAGATCCATTAGATGACCAATGAGATGAAGTCACAGAACCCTCAGAGACAAGGTTAGATGGATTATCACTTTCCTTGTCAGCCTCCATTTTTCCTTCAAATGAATTCTTCGCATCCATAGTTTCCAACAAACAAATCTGCTCCTCAGAGAGGGCCAATGCACAGGCTATTATGCTGGATATTTCATCCTCACGGACAGCCATGATCTTTCTATTAGTGCCAACAGGGTAGTGCAACAAACCCTGCTCTTGGGGAAAGAGCTGACGCATAGGACTCAAATATTTTGGAGTGTAAGTATGGATGAATAAAAACCTGTGCAAGTAGCCACCATCTAGGTCTTTTTTAAATGCAATGCGGAGTTCAGGGAAAGGAACCCAAATCAAGCTTTCAGGGTCTTCAAAGTCAGATATAGCAGATTCCTTAGGACTTGACAGCTGTACCTTCATCACAGAACCAAAAAATAATCCAATTCCACTTGCGCTGTTGTCATTCATCATCTCCAAGTCATATGTATCACTATATCCAGAGGGTTCCATGTTGTGAACTTCATGCATAGGATCAACAAGAGCAGCACATTCTTCCTCGTACTCTTTAAGTGAAGTGTTGTCTGGTGAACTAGAGAGAGGATTTTGATATACTGCAGTAGGTGCATTTTCTACAGCAGATGGATCAAAAGATGCTGCTTCCATTGAACATTCCATCCAATCAAACCCTGAACTTTGGAAACTTTCAGCAGAGTTGTAGACTGCATCAGGTTGTGGATAACAGTGATTTTGATCATTGTAACTGCTATCAGAAAAGGATCGCTGAACATTAATGGGAATAGGATTTGGTTCTCCAGATACTATATGACCAATTTCAATGCTGCCTTTCCCCATATATTTTTCATTTTCATCATGTGATCTGATTAGGTCTTTGCTGATTTGTGAAAAGTGATGCAAACGGAGGTCCCAAATGTAAAGCCTGAGAAGTAGCTCCTGATTGAACCAACTCAAGCCTATAATTTCATTTACAGACTTCTCCTGTTGCCCAGAGCAGTTGATAGCTTTGAACAAAGCATCCTGCACATCATTTAAATAAAAAGGGGAAAAATTGATCAATCAAAGAAGGAGATGGACTTTGGTTCAGAAGATCAATAAAAAGCAGTGCTTTAAAACTCACCTTAAATTCAGCTTTTTCTTGAATTAATATAGCTTCTGCTTCACAGATGCCTTTTACAAAACCAGAAAAATTCTTATTTTGCTCAGAGACAGAACATGGACAACTCATCTTCAAATTGTACAGGACGTTTGCCACTTCTGAAAAAAATTGCTCTCCTCTTTGAAGCACCTTTAAACAACGACATAAAGGTCAGTTGCTAATACTAAAAGCTAAAACATCATTATCATCATCATCAGCTTTTTCTCAACTATTTAGGAACAGACCAATTTTAGGAATTCTCCATGTGGAAAGCTACATATAACAAAAAATTAAGCTCTTAGAATTCTTACAGATTTTGCTTCTTGCACAACCCAATCTTGTTCACTTGGAATAGGAAACTCAAGTACTGGGGATGGCTTACATGCAGCATAAATTTCAATAGGTGAATATCTGAACATTGCAACTTTGGAGCCCAATCTGCACATGATCAGAATTTAAACAGTATATAAAGGTCACCATACAGAGAAATAGTTACATTAGTTGCAGAAACAAATAAATAATATGCTTACCCAAAAAAGCGAAGACAGTCCCTATGAAGTGAATGTCCGCATTCAGAAGATAACCTGCTTGCTGCAGAGTGGCTAGTGAAGCTAAGCTCTAAGAACTTGCCAAAGGATAGGCTACGAGCTGCGGTGGACATCACAACCCTCTTCGAAGATCTTGGGATCCCATTTTCATGCTCACATTTTAGGCATCGACTCCACATCCAAATTTTCCCCTCTGTTTCTCCTGATAAAGATGAACTGGAAGGCAGCTGTCTAACTAGAACGGTAAGATTTCCATTCTGGTGGGTATAACAGTAAATATGTGCTTCCGGTGGTTCACCGCATGAAGAGCAGACATGTTTCTGTCATGCAGTCAGTATCCATTAGTTCTGTTAAATAAGAAAAGTAAAATAAATTAAATTAAATAATCTGGCCAAGTAGAAGAGTCATAAACCTGGTTGAGTAGAACATCTTGAAGGTATCTTCCTAGAGAGACATCAAAATTCCCATAGTATTTTATGCGAGAAAGATGACTCTGTTCACAAACAATCCCTTTCTCAATACACTGGCTAGACAAGAGAACCAATATGCTCTCAGAACTCATTACACCATCACTGTCATCCTTGCCTTCAGTTTCACTTCTGTTTGCGGTAACAGCAGTAGAGTATTGAACAGGTTCATTCAAAATTGACATGGTCTCAGACCTTTCATAGTTTGGCTTCTCTGCCATCATGTTATCATTTACTTCTATACCATCGTCAATAGTCCCAGATGAATAAATTGGTAGGCCACTCAAACTTGGATAATCATGCTCATCCTCTTTAAAACCACGGTAGGATGAAATGGACTCAGATGTCACAGGCCTCAACCTGTTCTCTTGTGACAGCAATTTCGTAAGGGAAGCTGAGAAAGATGACATTAGCTGTACAGAAAGATCGGACGATAATAATGAGCTAGATTGATTCACTGCATTTTCATTGGATAAACTTCTGGGAAGATGTTCTTGAGTAAAGTTATCTTCACAAACATCAAAATCACCAGCAACTTCTGAGTCATCTGAAGATCTGTTTGCATCAAGATGTGCAGTGTAAAACCCTTCATGAGATGAATTATTTAAAAAGCCATTAGAAGCAGGAGTATCAGTAAAATTTGAGCTTCTTGCGGCAATAGTTGGAACTGCTTTATGTGTTAATGCATGACTGTCTTCTGAACTATCAATGTTAGAGAATAATGCACTTTGATCAGCAAAAAATGAGGTTTCCAGAATCAATTGATATGCTGCAAAGATGGTGTATTGAACAACTCGTTTAACTCTTTTCAGTTCATCAATATGAGCACCTTTAAGCAATATCTGTAACATCAAAAGAGCATCATATGTTAAGGAGTATTGGACATATTTTTTTTACTAATATAAAGGGTTTTGCACTTAATTGAAGATACTAGCTTCCTGCTTAACACACCGAAGTGTTTAAATAGTTATCAAGAAGATGCATAACCATAATCCTAAAAAGTAACGCTGCAAGAACCAATACATTAAGTATTTTCATTACAATTTGCTTCTTAAAGTAACAAGTTTGCGTTAGGTCATAAGTTTTATATTTGAAATTATCTTCAAATCTAGACTAAATTTAGATCTCAATATACTAGTTCCTACCTTTTGTTGCACTAATTTGGCAATTCATAAATTGTTTATTTGATCATACAACAGTTAACGAAATATCTAATCTCTCAAACAGATCATATATTCTAAATTATTCAAAAATGAACTATGTGAAATCTCCATTTAGCAGTAATATAAAGCATATAGCCTTAGTATAACGCCCATCTAAGTCATTTTCATAATAGATTCGGCTTGTTGTTGCTATACATTCAAGAAACTAATTAACCACAGGTAAATTAAAATTCAAACAAATCTATTAAGATGGGGTTATTTGTTTGTCATTGTATTTCATACCACCGGATGGCAATGGTAAAACCATTTACAAGTATCATTAGTAAATACCCTCCAATCAAATTACGGATTAACTTTAATGTTAGTTTTCCTGCACTGAATTCAATAAATAATAAAATATCAAACATCTATAGAAATAGATAACAAACAAATCATTAATTTGTTGCATGCCAAAAAATTTATGTTTTCTGCAAATTGATATTCATGTTGATGCCTAGTATTGCAGTTAAAAAATCAGTTAAAAGAATGACTGCAGCATCCTATTAATAAGTTGCTTTTTTCCATCCTAGCACCAAATCCCTTCTTGAGGATCTATATGATGCAACCAGAACTTTATTCATTAAGATTTTTTGAGGCATGGCAAATTCTCATCAATTTAACCATTACAACTAATTCAATAGTAATATGGGTTTGTTTGGGGCAGCTGCAGCGGTTTGAAGAAGCAGCTATGAAGCTTCTGTAGAAGAACCAGCTGTTCAAAATAGAATTGTGACTATTACAAATTCATTTTAATATCAAAAAGTTTAACTGTAGCTTTGCCACACTTTAATAGGTTAGGTTGAAAAAAAAATGCTGTAGCTTTGTGGCAATTGCCACACTTTAATAGGTTAGGTTGAAAAAAAAATAGCTTTTAACCACAAAACTTTCTAGAAAGCAGCAAAAAAATAGTTCCCAAACAGAACTGCAGTGGTAGAATGAAAAACAAAGCAGCCAGAAAGCTGTCCCAATCGGACCCTAAATGCATTTAAACAATGATTTATACATGAGGGTCTTGTCAACTGTTATTTGGCCTGAAAATGCTGCTCTATGCATGAAAATAACAGCAGCTACTTGGCTGTAACGTTTTTGGATGAATGAAGAAGTCTTGAATCTGAACTGGTAAGCACAGCTGAAAGTGGCTTATCATATTCAGTAGACTATTTTTTTCAACATGATCACGTAACTTTGCATGTGTGCAATAGACAAGGATCTCACAGGTTTTTAGCATAAACAATTTACTAACCGTGCATCCCAATGGCTTGGAGAAGCCCTCCAGAAACATCAGAGTTTTGGTTGTCCTTCTGCCAACTTCATTAGAGGTGTTATGTTCTTCTGTCAGCTTTTCAATATGGAATGAGTCACACTGTGTGACATTTCGGTTAGTAAGAATGTTGGCAGAAGGAATAATCTGAGAACCAGTACAGCGAGCAATTCTTTCTAAACGTGCAATTTTCATATCAAATACCAAAGTCATTCCCTTAGCTAGTAGAAACTCTTGTATATCACGTGAAACAGATTTCTCCACCAAAACCAAATTGGGATGGCAGGCTTCGATCATCTCATTGATTGACTTCAAGTAGTCTTTTTCCTGCTTCCAGTAAAGAAGCCCGAGTGAGAAAAAACATATCACTCCATAAAGGCAACCCGCAAAATCCAATTTGAATAACCTACCTGATCCATTGAATCAAATGATGACAATCCAAGCTCACGTTGCCCAAGGACCCCTTTTACCAGTAGAAGCCTTGGATTTTTGCATTTTGTTGGCATGTGTTTGTGAGCAGCATTTTTCTTGAAAATTAAACCCTTGATCACCTGACTGTACAATCAGGAAGTTCTTCGAGAATTTAAAAGGATGTCCATTTTTATCATTGGAAATGCTGAAAATAACAAAAGTAGAAAATAAACACTTTAAAAAAATGAAATGCTCAAACATTACCTTTGGCTTCGAGCACCAGTAGCAACGCATTTTACTTTCACATAGGATCCTGGATCCATAGCTATTCCCTCCTTTGCATCAGGCTTAACACAAAGTGCAGCTTCCCAGGATAAAGAAGTAACAATATCAAGCCAGCCAAGGTCATGACCTTCATCCACAGAAGCAAGTCCTTCTGATGCCAAAAAACGACTTACAAGAATCTTAAATTGCCCATTCATTGCCGCCAACATTGCTTTTTGGCGTGCTTCTTTGTAGCTACTTCCCTGAATTTTATCAAAATCACCTAAAGAAGTAGATTGCCCCCACTTTGTGCCATCCCCATAGTCATCATCATCATCATCATCATTATTTGCAACACTATCCATGTCATCCTCAATATTTGCTGCCTCTGGTGGCTTCCAAATGCGAGGATCAGATTTCAAAGTGGACAACATCAATGAACTACTTGTTGTAACACCATTCTCAACCTTATAAAAATCATCCCCAGCAATTAACCTGGTAGATTGAAGATCTTGCTGAGAGGTGTCAACTTGATGAAGCCTCTCATCTTTACCATTCTCATACCTTTCAAAGGTTCTCGATGTAAAACTTACTCCAGACAATGTGGCCTCTGCAATTCTGTCCAGTCCAGTTGTAATATCAGAAGTTGGAGCACTGAAAATCTCAGAAAAGACCCTACTTCTTGTCACTTCCCCATGTTTAGTAGATCTTTCTAGTTGCTCTTGAAGAATATCAATAGCTTCATCTCCATTTTTCCTGCATAGGAAATACTTTTAGGTATGCAAGGCATGTTGGCGAAGAAAAGTGTATGAATAAATAAAAGGAGGAAATGCCAAAGCACTCAAATTCAAATGCTAGCCGAGTCAAGATTACCAAGAATACAAATTTACTCAAAAATGGTAGACAATACATTGCTCGTCTTTAAACACCGAACTGAAAGAAAAAATCAAGCGCTTATGAATCCAAATTCCAAATACAGGATTCAAAACCTCAAAATGGTATTATATGTGATGATAATTGCTGTCATTGTGTAGCACAAGTATCATAAAATGATTATATAACATAAGAGGCTTCAAAATAAGAGCATCTTGATGATACAAGATAATTGAGAACATAGATAACAATAGATGGAAGTAGAGTTGCTATTTACCTGATAAGTGGATTCACCTCAGATATTGTGTTGCCTAAATAAAGAGAACCAACAAGCAATTGAATCAGAAAATCATATTTACACCTGTTAGCAGAGCAACTGTTGTGTTAAGAAAAAAAAAAAGAGAGAAAAATTACCACTATCAGAACTAGAGTTCAAAGGATCCATTGAGAGGTGTGCTGGAAAACTGCAGGTAGGAGTGTCAGTCTTAGGAATCAATTCAAATTTTGAATTCTGATCGGTTGCATACTTGTCCAAGAGAGAAATATGAGAGTACGTAAGGTGCTTTACGTCTATAGTTAATTTAAATTCTCTTTTATCAAGATCAACAAAGAAGGAAGCACTGCAGCCTTTACAATAAACCCCATGGCCCAGTACTTTCTGCCCATCATTGCATGCATTACACATTGTAGTTATTAAATCCCAATGAATATCGGCAGCTTGAAGACATCAGACACATTCAAAATGATAAAATTCCACTTCTTGATACCACTGCACAAGCAAAGCCCTGAAGAAATGAGAAAGAATGAGCATCAAGAAATACATTAATATAACAGAACTTCAAGATATAAGACATTGGAATGTAGTGACACATCATGAATATTACACAATCACATTCTGAACTATAAAGGTTAAACTATGGGCATCCTATAAGCTACAAACAAAAGCCCTAACAGGAAATAAAGATTTACAAAGCAAGAAATATATATCAGCTCAAAAAATCACCGGCCTCATAATGACTACCTGGAAATTTAAGTTAAAGGCAAAAGTTAAGGCACCCTTTGGACCATCATAATCATCATGATTAGCCTCATCCCAACTATTTGGGTTCAGTTCTTTTAAAACTCATTTTTCATTCATTCAAATTAATTGTTGTTTGAAGTGTTAAACTTAGGGGTGTAATTGAGCCGAACACGAGCGAGCACGAGCCCAGGCTCAGCTCGTGTTCGGCTCATTTATATTTCGAGCTCAAAAAGTGTGTTCGTGTTCGGCTCGTTTGCTTAGTGAGCCGGTTCACGAACAAATGACAACTCTAATCAAGTAGCCATAAGATGTTAAGGATTGAGGCAAGATTTAAAAATTATAATTTATATTAAAACATCATTTGAATCTAATTTAATAATATTTATTCTATTGTCTTAATTAATACTTATAATTGATTATAAATCTTTATAGCCTTGTAGCCAATTAAGTTTTTTAAAAATACTATTCATCAAAGATATTAATTGATTTTTTAAAAATACTATTAATTAAGTTTTTTAAAAATATATTAATTGGTTAGGTATTTCGAACCAAAACGAGCCAAACACGAATGAACAAATCTTTCTTCGTGTTGTTCGTGTTCGGCTTGTTTAACTTAGTGAACGAGCCGAACACAAGCTTTTCGCGAACAACGAGCCGTTTTGACAGCCCTAGTCAAACTATTCATCACAAATCATTTGGAGCAACCACTATACCGTTACATTAGATGCACTCAATCTTCTTTAATCATTTGACACTTTTTTATCTGTTCTTCTAATAAATGAATATCTTCTTCTTCCTAGTTTGACAATCCATTCATCATAACATTTTGTTCTTGTCACCCTCAATTTTTTAATATACAATATTATGTTTTATGCAATAATACTAGCTAATTGTGGTTTAATAAGTCTTATCATTTGGAATGTTTGGTTGCAATTCTTAGCCAAGAATTAAAGCTAAACCTTGTCAAATAATTTTTTGATCCATATAAATACCATTACATTCTTAAATTTTATTCTCCTCCCAGTATAGGCTAAATAAAAAATTTAGTAAACCGTAGAAAGTAGGATTCAAGAGAGACGCATTTCTCACGGTGCCTGTTTTCCCTTCATTTAAATACTAAATCTTGAAAACATTTATCACTGTTTGTTAGGATTTAACCAAATTTAGTGTATATGACATAAAAAAAGTTTAAAAATTTAATGCCCCAGAGTCTGCTAAATATAGATTTACATGATTTACTAAATCCTACTTGCATCCAACTAACCCCTTTAAGTTTCCATATGATCATTCTATCCAATAATACCTCAAATGACACTATTTGGATGTTCAGACCGAGATGAAATGGAAAGACGTTGGAAAAACAAACAATCATTGCCCAATCTTGATTGAGCTAACAAATAATTGAATTCTATTCACGCTCCAACCTAACATTTCTAATTCAATTAAGAGGACCAAAAAATTAAGAAAAACAATTTATTAAATCATAGATGTTGCAAAGCTACCTAAACATAGCAATAAACTAAGCCATAAGCATGATGAATTGCTAAAAAATTCTAGGTCAAAGTCCATCCATAATTAGGTTTCATTCAAGGACATCGTGCCCATAAGTTTATACTAAGGAGTAGTTTCAGATAGAAAACGCAATGAAAATAAACTATTACCAATTAATCCAGAAGAGCAGAATGAACCTAAAAACCTATTCTAAGCAAACTTCTCAGAAAGAAAACGCAAAGAAAATAAACTAGTACCAATTACAAATCCAGAAGAGCAGAATAAACCTAAAAACCTATTCTAAGCAAACTTCTCAGAAAGCTTTCAAGTCATCACAAAGCTATAGTTCACTCAGCGTAAGAATAAATGGATATCGAGTTCAAACAAGCCAAAACACCCACAAAAAGTTCTTCCGATTAATAAACGAAAAAAAAAAACAAATAGGTGGTAAAAGAGGACAACAACGGATCGGCCGTTCACAGGTCATACTCGCTTCCTATAAACCAACCACACAAGACAAAGATCCAGCATCAGACCCGGGACCAAAAAAAAAAAAAAAAAACCAACAATCCATCAAAAGCCAAACACCAAACATCACCCAAAACTATCAGTCAAATCCTCAAAGTTCATAAATAAAAGGGGTTTTTACATATCTATCAACCACCTAAATAAAAAGTATCGAAGGAGAATACCCTAGGGTAAGGAAGAACTTAAAAAGCGATGATGAAAAAATTAGATCCAAAAGTCAAGCTCTAGGAACCCAGTTCAAAACCAGAGCCCAAAAACCTAAGCATCGTTACAAACCCCAAGAATACACCAAACAATCAAATCCGTCCATCAACAACAAAGCCCCAATCCTGATTCCCAAGAACATCAGAACCCAACCTAGAAAGCTAGAGGCAAAACTACCAACCTGACATGGACCAAAGCGTCCCCACCAGCAGTAGCGGCCCGCCTACAGCTGCATCCGTCACGAACCGCCAATACCTTCTCCGATCTCAAAAAAAAATAAAAAAGATCACACAGCTAAACAAAGTACAAGCAGAAGAGATCGAGACACCAGAGAACACAGAGAGCAGGCGAGGAGAGGGAGAGAAAAAGAGAAAAGGAGAGAGAAGAGAGATTGCAGCTTATTAGCTAAATAGGAATTTTCTACCGTGCGCAGATGAGAAAAAAGGGGCAATTTTTGGAGTGAAAGGTCGATGTTGACGAAGACTGTTTTGAATATCTTTTATCCAACATCTGAATTGATTCAGGACTTCTGTCGCCGGCGCAATTTTAACCGTCCGATAAGAGCGCTCGGAGAATCAATCGGCCGCAGCCGTTTGAAGTAGTTGATTTCAAAGGAAAGTGTTTTTTTTTCCCTAATTTTTTAATTCAATAAAATAAAAATATCTTGTTGTCGCAAAATCATGAATAGTTGTCGGGTGGATGTCATGAATAATTAAACAGCTGGTAAAATTTATAATATTAAATTATAACTTTATTTAGGACATTACTAATTAGTCCAATCTAACGAGCACCTTGATTAAAAACTGTTTGATTTTGAATAAAATTAAATAAATATGAATTTATGCAGATCTATCCATCTTGAGGGCTTTAAGGGTGTGTCTGCTGTCTGGTGCAGCTCTAGTTTATTGGATAATTTGTTGATAAACTTATTACAAACAATCTGCTAATAAGCTAGGTGCGGTGATTATTATAAATTTATAATTTTTTTGGAAGAGTCAGACTGTTGCCAATAAGCTGCCACCGTAACTAGATAAATGCGGTGTGAAAATACTATTTTTTGCGTTTTGAAAACGCTGTTTTCTGCGTTTTGAAAATACATAAGCTGTCAAAACACAGTTTACCCAAACAGATCAGATGCGTTTTCAAAACGTCACCGCACCAAATAAGCTGCCCCAAAAAGACCCTGTTTGGAGAGCTTATTCTGTGCGGATAGCGCACGCAATTTGCATGTGTTGTTGAATAATTTTTTTTTAAAAAAAATTTAAAGTAAGACCCACTGAGATACATTTTTGATAGAGATAATATTTTACTTGATTAAACGCATATATTTCTGCGTGCGGCTAAAATTTGAATAATTTTTATTAGATTTTAGAAAATTCAAGATAGTAGAAAAATATCGAAATAGTTATATTACATGAAAATATTAAGCTAAAATATAAAAATAGTAAAAGGAATTTGTTTCTTTTCCTAATAAAGATCTAATTAAGATGCAAAAGTACCATCTGGCTCCCCTGTCGGTATTTCCTTATAATATTTTATGAGATGCATATATATTATCTTTTACTATTTATAGGAATAATTTGTTGTGGCTCCAAAGATCGCGTATCAAATACTTTGGTACCAAATCAATATAAAAATGAATTGGTTTGAACAAAAATATGACATAATTTAATGAGCAAAAAGCAAGCGATAATCTCCATCTCTTCTGATTGGGTTTGAACCGTTGTGGGCACAAATTGTATAATTATTTGCTTATGAATTATACTAAAGAAACTAAAACAATAGGAATATTTACATGCATATAACTCGATTTTTATGTATTTATATTTAACACCAAAGCTTTAATTTTCACGAATATGCCTCTTTATCGATGCATGAAAAATATGCTTAGAAGTCAAAATAGTGATATTTTTTATGAGATATGAAAGATTTAAGATGTATGAATATAAAAGGTAAAATTTAAATGTTAGATATGTAAATATATCAGAATTGGGTGATATCTATGTGTAAATGCCCCAAAAATTAAGGGAAATTTTACATGCATGTAGTAGGCCATGCATATAAATTTCTTACAGCTCTCTCCATACTAACATCCTTTTTAACTACTCATTACCCAAGCCAAACCACACGCCAACTACAAACTAGCTAAACATGATTAGGACCAAGGTTCTTCTTTGCCCTTTGACATCCATGAGCATCAAAACTAGTCATTCATTCTATGTCATAAGTGCATGTCCTAATCTAGCCATTCAAAAGAATTTATAGCCTTTTATTTCACTCAAATTCCATTCCCTAAAGTGATCTTTTAAATTAGGCTAAATTAGTCTAATCTAAATAAGTTGTGATATTTCTACTGCAAAACCCCCTTCAAGTACATCATCACTCAACCATGAACTTTGAGAAACTTTCGTAAATATTAAAAATAAAGCATTGAATATACCTTTTGGATGAAGTAGAAGTACCCATTCCTATCCAACGGCTTTTAACTCCAAGGTATGTTACAAATCCTAATTTTTCAACAAGAGACGGTTTATTAATTATTATGCACAAAATTTGTATGAGAAAGTGCTGGTGAAAAATAAATTAATTAAGGAGCGAGGAATTTTGAATCAAGGACATGAAGTTTCAAAAACTGTGGTGGAAGTTATCATAATGAAGAGGAGATCTGAAGTCTTATGCTACACTGCTACAGCAGTAGTAGTTTCTATGGTAAACGAGTTCTATGCTAATCTCCATGGAATTAACCAAGGAGTAGTGTATGTGCGAGGTAAAGAAGTACGTCTTAATCCTTCTCGGATTAATGAGTTATTTTTTATCAAGAATGTCCCTATCTGTCATTACATTAACTTTGCCTCGAGGAGAGACAACATGTACGAGACATACAAAATTTTGTTGGATGAAGATAGAGGTTGGGAAGCAAAAGATGAATTTGATGTAAGTTTCCCATCTTCTTTATTAAATGTTGTATCTAGGCCTTAACATATCTTTATTTCTGCTAAATTACTTCCCACTACGAGACTAAGTAAAGTCACAAAGGAGAGTTTTATTCTGAATTATTACATTCAGACTAGAAGGCCAATAGATGTGGGAACTTTGATTATAAAATATATTCTGGAATTAGCATTAAATGGATCTTCTACTGGACTTAGACATCCTTCTACCATCTTTCTGTTGTGTAGCCAGTCGTAAGTTCCATATGATAATTGATAAAAGGCTCTTCTTCCGTAGCAACCTTTGGACCCAATTTTCCACTTTTCGAATTTGGTGAACCCAGAAGAAGAGAATGTTTCTTTGGATCAATCATCTCAAAATTCAACACCTACTTTATTACCACCACCACCAGATAATTTGGATATTGTAATGAAAAGAGTTAAAAATTTGGAGAAGAAAATGAATTGTATCATCAATGAGATTGATGGAATTTATACTAAATTTGAACATTTAGATTGCAGATTGAAACAACAATAAGACCATACCGGACTTGTAGAAGATTGGATAGTGCGATTGTACAAGAGGAATTGTTGGATCGAAGATGAATCAACAGATGAATTCCCAAGCCACCCTTTCTACAATTTACTTGTTCATTACCAATCAATGAGAGATATCAAAGTGGATCAAAGTGATGAGAGTGAAAATTCTTGATGGACTTAAAGTACTGAAGATATCAAAGTGTGCTTGAGTGTTTAAGTATGTTTGTGTTTATGTTTTTGCTTACATGAATGGGATTGCTATGATTGAATTTAGATTTCTTATTTTCAGCATTGATTCATTGGTTTGATTAGCGACGCTGATTTTTTATTTATGTTAAAAAAACTGTTAAGTATATATAGGAAGTGAGTTTTTGTGTTGTTTGTAAAAAACTTAATTATTAAAAATTACTAAAAATTAGAAATTAATGAAGAGTTGGGCTAATTATAGCTTAATTTGGTTTAGTGCGAAAATTTGTAGCAAAAACGCGAAATCGAGTGTTTATTTGTGCTAGCGCCAGACTCGCAAAAAGTCCTAGTTAGGTTGAAAAATTCACGAAAAGATTTTTTTCACCATTATTGAACTCTAAACTTCATCTTCTTCTTGAGCTAGGGTCAAAAATCATTTTAGAGCATCAAAATACTTGGATTGAAGAAGATTTGAAGGCTTGAAAACTCCGGATCTCATCATCTCTTGGTAAGAGCTTCAATCTAACCTAGAAATTTTTTATTTTAACCATGGATTTCTCCTACATTTTGGAGAAACCGAAAATGGGAAAACCAATGAAGTGAAGCTTTTTAGCCATGATTTGGATTTTAGGAGTTAATTTAACCATTATTTGAGAAATATTGGATATATTTTGGAATTTTTAGATCTTTATGGCTCCTAAAATGAAAAGAACGGTTGGAAGACTTGGCTTTGTTGAATACAGGTTCGTTAATCTGAAGGCACAATACCACTAGAACTCGCATTTTTACAAAGAAAAATTTGACTCAAGTGGGAGCAGTTTTCAACCCAGGAGGAATGATTCAAGGATTAATTACAGTGGGATACTTTCTGTTACTTTACTGATATAGCAGTTAAAAGCATTTTCTCTTTGTACATCCCAACTGATTTTTCATGTTTCTGATTGCAGCTCATTGACTTTGTAATTGACTCCCCACTTGCAATATCAATTCTTCCATTGAAAAATTTTAAACTTTCTCTCTTTACTTTGCAAATTATTAAATCCTAAAGGTTAATAAGGTTTATAAGTTGGATTTCCTTGATTGTTGGAGTTTCCTAATGGGTTCACAATGTTGTTTCCCTATTTCGGATTTGCAGCATTAGAATTATTGTTGCTCCAACTAAAATTCGGATGATTTTTCCAACCGAGATTATAATAATTGACATAAGGATAATAATTGACATAAGATTGACATAAGGATTATTTGAACGATTATTTATTGCATTTAACTTCTCATAAGAAGATTGAGATTCTATTGTCGCAATGAATTTTCCTCAAGCACAGGCAATGTCTAAGAATAATTCATTCCATATTGATCTATCTTCTTCGATATAGTAACTATTTGTGCAGTTAACATAGATATTGCATCAGAATCATGAATACTAGCTACTCTTTTTGGATTTACCCTTTCAGAGGGCCATTACAAATTATTAGTAGTCATCTCTTCAATTAAAGAATATGCTTCATCAAATAGTTTTGACTTTAATGATCCACTAGCAACAGTGTCAATTGTCGATCTAAGAGTTCCAACCAATCCATTATAAATAGTTTAAATTATTAACCATTCTGACAACGCATGGTGTGCACACTTTTTAAAGAGATCTTTAAATCTTTCTCAGGCTTCATAAATTGATTCCCTTTCAAACTGAAAAAAAGATATAATATCATTTTTAAGATTAGAAGTTTTTGAAGGTGGGAAATATTTAGATAAAATTTTTTGTGATAATTCTCCCCAAGTTCTGATAAATTTAGGTGCTAACGAATTTAGGTGCTAACGAGTTTAA